ACGGCGCGTCATCTCTGTTGGCTTGTATAAGATTTAGAGCTGTTAGCTGAGGAGAGAAAGGTCTGTGTGTTTCTGCTTAGACAGCTGCCTCTGTGACCTGGACCCAGAACTGGGCATTATGGGAAAAAATCTTATCATGATCATTTTTCACTTCAGTCAATATTTCTCTATATAACGATATAAATCAAATCATCAGTCCTGTCAGTCTTAAAGATTCCTTTTTGTTTTGTTTTGGGATTTTTTTTATAAAAACAAACTGTTTAAAGTTGTTGGAAATAGAGAATTTATCCTCATTGTTTTTAGTCCTACTGCTTTCATGTGGAGTCTTTTTAGTTTAGCAGTTAAGACACAGACCATGACGTACAATATGTGAGTCTATGTTGTTTTTATAGTGTCCCACTTTATTTGGCACTGTAAAACATTTTTATCCTCTGTCCCTTGACCTACATGTTGAGACAATGTTCCACATTTTGACTGGCTTTATATTTCAAAGGTTAAAATTGGAGGAAAGGGAGTTTAAAATGCTATTACCATGCTACCCACGCAATGCTCAATCGGGTAAACTGAAGTCACCAGCTCGTCAGATTTTCACAGTAATGAAAACTTCAAACACATATAAAGAAAAAATAAAAACAGCTACAATAAAAGCCTAGGAGACTGGCTATCAATTGTTGAGTCCAACAGAAGAAGATGCTCTGGCACTTCCTTTGTTTTATTTGTTTTATGAGGTGAAATGACATGTTTTTTGTTGGTTTTATTTGTATTTATTTATGTATTTTTATTTATTTTTAAGTCAAACATGTCAAAGCTTCAGACCAGTTGTCAACATTAGTAGTGTGCTTCCCACACACACATACCCTTTGCTTCTTGTTTATTTTTCTGGGATCTTTATATCACTGGTGTGTCATTGTCCACCACATTTCCTTGATTTCTATATAAAGGCATGATAATATAGTTTCAAATCAGTTTTTCAGATAGGCTGTGTAATCATGTCCTCCTGTAGGACTCATACTGAAGAGTTTTTAGATGTTGTCATTAAAAGAGAATGTGGTTTGTATCACTAAACTAGAGGAAATCATTTGTCTAGTGTGTGTGTGTGTGTGTGTGTGTGTGTGTGTGTGTGTGTGTGTGTGTGTGTGTGTGTTTTCTTCATTTACAGTATGTTGTCAATGGTTGGATTAGAAATCTGTTACTGATTCATTTTTCGCCAAACCTGTGCTTTGTGTGGCTTCCTCTCACAAGCTAATCTTCAGAAGACAAGGCACACAAATTCTAGATGGTCTGTGTTTGGTCTTTAGAGAGTCTCTGCAAGCACATCTTTAATCTCGCTTCACTGATTGCTCACCCATCACCTCCTCCTCCCCCCAAGCAGCTGCTCTCTCTGGCCCAGTCCTGGAGGATTTTAAAACATCGTTTTATCTCTTACCACAACAAGTTAAAACATCAATGGACCAGAGCTCAAAGCCTAATACCACCATTCTCAAGCGTCTTTCCAGCATACCAGAGCCTTGTATTCCCACACAGAGTCAAGTGGAGGAGGAGCGTGTGTGCAGAGTGCAGGTGTGGGTGGTTTGTTGGGAGAGAGAGAGGAGTGCAGCTGGTTGGGGTCACAGTGCCTTAGTGTGCTGAATGACTAATGAAAGGTTTATAGTGGCGCAGCATCACTAGTCTGAATTGTAGGCTGGAGAAGGACACGCCTTGTCTGGCTTTTAGAACCCTCCTGGCCCTTCACTAGTTAAAAACAGGCTGCTGCCTCAAAGCACACTGTGCGCTGTCTATCTTGCGTGCTGCACAATATCGTTTATTATTTAGTAAATATTGATATCTATGACTAGCTAGTTTATTGTGATGGTGCTTTGTTTTCTCTATTATTATGTTGCTCTTTGTTGTTTGCTGTCTCCTCTGTTTGTTTTTTTTGTTTGTTTGTTTGTTTTTTTCTCCATACAGGTGACCCAGGAGTTCTTTTTTTTTTTTTTCTCTCTCTTCCCCCCCTTCTCACCGTCTCTTCTCCCCTTTGGTTTTCTTTCTTTCTCTCCCCCTCTTTCTCTCATTCATTCCCCCTGTCCTATTTATTAAAAAAAAAAAAAAAAAAAAAGACAAAGGATGAACTGAAGCTCTGCCATCACGTAATGTCGCATACTGCTGTTTCTGATGTCATTTAGGAAAAAAAAAAAAAAAAAAAAACAGGCATTTAACAAGTTCTTCCAGAACATAGGGCCACAGTCCTTCACTTAACAAGCTCATTATTTCGCATTGTTTTTGTCCTTTGCTCCTCCTCGGTGGCAGTGACAGGGAAAAAGATAATCTTTGATGTATGTCTCTGTTAGAGAGTTGCGTAAGGATATGTGAGAGGGAAGGATGATAATGGATCTGCTAATGATGTGGCCTTTGCTTATGCAGTAATGCTGGGTTGTCTGCATGAATATTCATGGCTATGTCTGTGAAAAAGTGGTGGCAGCTCAAGGTTATTTTAGAGGGCAACAGAGGACAAGACTCAAAAGGAGATTGTGCTATTTAATAGTTCTCTATCATCAAAAAAATTTACAGTCAGATACCTGAAAATCAAAGCAAAGCTTAACACATGACTTCTTTTGATCTCTGCTATAAATGCCATATCTTGCATGTAGACTTGCTTACTGGAAACCTTTAGAGCTTCAAAAGGAGAACTACCAGAAAGTGACATTTAATATCTAGGTGTAAAAACAACCTTAACTTTATTGGTTGACTAGGGAGGCGGCATGTGGTACCTACATGTGGTACTGCTGTAGCAAGTCCCTTTTGTGAATGACGCAGTGTACATTAACAAATCTGGATACAGTTTTGACCTCTGGCTTCATCAGATTATTAATATAACTTCTGGGAGATAAAAAAGGATAGACATTAACTGTAGCTTTTATATCTATATGTGAATCTGAAAGGGTAAATGTATCACAATTATCAATCATTACTGTTTCACTGCACAGGAGTTGAAATCAATAGCTTAGTTATACTGAGTAGAATTTACTGAGTGTGAAATTACAATCAAACAGCACAACCAAATACATACTACAAAGATAAATGATGTTTACAAAGCCTCCTGAAATCCTGTTTACAATGTCATATTATTTGTTTCTGTTATACGCTGTCATGGAAAAATGTTTTTCCTCTTGAAATGTAATTTTGACTCCCAACTTGAGAGAATTGCATTTTCAGCACTGAAATTCAAACCCTCTTTGCAACAGCATTTTAATCAAATCAAGCCATGTCAGAGTCATTTTCAAATCAATTTTAACAACTCACAAGTGCTGAACATGACAACAAATTATCCTTCATGCTCATTTCAAGGCATTAGGCTTAAATGCCTTGTTTCACTTCTTTTTTCCTGTTTCTCCAGCCTTTGCATTTGCATAACAAATTATATAAATAAAGGAGCAATATTAAAAATGTTATTAGTGTCACAATTATGTATCATAAGGATTTCCCATATCTTATCTTATCGCCTCACAGTTCTGTTAATGATTCACTAAAATGTTTAACATTCTCTCTCAGACTGAGTGTGCAGGACGAAGCAGGAAGGTGATATAGTCATCGTATCACAAGCTTGGACAAATATGTATCAACAGCCAGACAAAACACCTCCTAGAAGAAACCAATTAAACCTTTGGAGATTTCAATTACTCCCTTGATGGGGTTTTCAAGATCGATAACCACGCATGTGTCTTGACAAGATGCTTGGTGCTACCAGGGGCTCACTTTAGAACAACAGACTCTCACAGACCGTTACTATTTTTGTGCTAGGATGTGTCTGCCTGACAATAATATTTGCGTGTGTTATGATAAATATTTATATGTTTGCGTTTCAATATAAAGTGAAATTCAAGATGCCCATCCTGCTCTTTTTAGTGTTAAGCGATCAAATGTTTTGGCAGCACCCAAACACGATCAGGAAATGTCACATGCCGCTTCCCTAGTCTGCCGCTCTTCTTTTTCCTCCTTAGCCTTTTCCTCCAGTGTCTCATTCAGAAGAATGAAGACAAAGATTCAACACACAGAGCCAGACAGCAACAGAGAGCTCTCTAGCGCATACTAATCTAAAACAACACTGCATCTAGGCAACATGTTTTATTCTATCCCCACTGAGGCGTGTTTAAGTGTGAGATGTGTGAGATAGGGCTCTGCACATCTCATCACTTAGGAAAGGTTGTGGCCTGCATCTTCAGCACCCCCCCCCCCCCCCCCCCCCCCCCACCCAATGCAGGTTCCTATCACTTCCATCCTCATATTGGAAGTGACAAGCCACTCAGGCAGAGGTGTCTTCGCTCACCCCATCAGCAGCCATGCAGCCCCATTCAGAGCTGTCAGCCTGATTACATATCAGATGGGAGGGGTGGGAAAGGGAGTGAGGTGAGGGGTGGGGTACCTAAGGAAAAAGAGATGTCCAGCCAGAGACAGACCACTAAGCACATCGTCTGTCCTGCTGCTGCACATCTGCCAATACACATCCACCTGTCACCAAGGCTGCCACATAACCAGTCTATATGTCTCCATCACTCTCCTGTTGATTTCTAAAATTTCAACAACATGTATCTTTCAGTTTGTGTGTCATTCTCTCTTTTGGTTTGTAATTGGCCTCTTTTTTAAAAAAAACTTTTTGTTACTTCGCTTTGTTGTTTTTTTGGGTCTCTCATTTTTAGTTAAAGTTCAGTTTTATTTGTTTAGGGTTTTTTTCCCCACATTTCACTGAAAAGGGCTTATCACAGGGAGCACAGCTCATTTACCAGCTATTCATGCTTGGTGGCAACTCATTACTCAGATAATATTACCTATCCTACCTCTTTGCACCAGAAAAGCAGTGTTAGTTTGCTCGGGATGAAAGAAGATGTGCTAACTGAACAGAAGCACTAAATTATTGGAGGTTGTCTGAGGTGTATTTGAGGTTCCCAGCTTCTTCTATGAGGACAAAAATACATGTTGTTTGCCTAAGCACTGATTTTCTTGTCTTTTTTCTCTTCTCTCTCCAGGCGTGAAGCTTGGAAGTACTCCACGGCAATCCAGAGAGGTATGTGTTTACTCCATTTCTCCCAAAACACATACACACAGGTTGCTCCCACCTGTTATCTATTGCAAAAAAAAAAGTGATTGTCAGCCTTGTACCTCTCAGCGTGTCTGATAGCATCTGTGTAGAAAGGCTGACCTCACACTGTGCATTCAGCCAGTCAGACTGAAGCTGAGTTTAGTGAGTAAACGATCCCAGTTGCACCAGGCCAGTTTCCTCGGGGTATTATCACACCTGGAGTTTTTTTTCCTCTGTTCTCCCACAGCAAAATTTTTTTTTTGCATTTATTCTTTTTGTTTTACTATTTTCAGTGTTTTTCAGGTGTAAAAAGTATACATTGTGTTCTTTATCCAAGTCACAAATACATCCACATGGGCTTAAGCTTATATAGTAACATACAAATATGATTTCCTTTATTTAACATTAAATATTCACAATATTTAAAAATAACAATAACAACAATAATTGAACCCTTTGATTTAATACCTGGAGAAATCTTGTTTTGAGTCATCAAACAGGAGGTCCGTTCTATAACTGCAAGATCAGACCTGCATATTGTTCAGAAGCCATTTTGGACCAATCTTCCTTAAATAACTGCTTCTATTCAGCCATATTTTTTTGGCATGAACTGTTTTCTTTTGATTCCACAGCTTCTCAGTTGGATTAAGGTCCCTGATGGGGCCACTCCAAAAGGTGGATTTTCTTTCTGTTGGTTGCTCTGTTTGAAGTTATTCGGTAGATTTACTTTAATGTTTGGGGTCATTTTACGCTTACGCTTGCATCGCCTGGCATCATGACAGTATCCTTTAATATATTGTTTTAAATGTGGGAGTTCATTTTCGCTGTGACGATGCCAAAATGCCCAGGCCCAGAGGCAGAAAAGCATAATGTAATGCTCTCTTAACTGTGCATCACCTTTGGAATGATGCTTCCAAAGGTTCAGACACAGTGCTGCCTAGCATTCCCAAATAATTCAGCTGTTTCATAAGTCCTCAAAACATTTTCCCAGCAGAGGCGTCAAGGGCAAAGGTTCTTCTTTTCAATCTTTAGATGAGAGGAGATGGTTACTGTTGGAGCTCAGCAGCTTCCTCTATGCTATCCTACTATCAACTCTGTCTGTTCAATGATATATGTATTTTAGAGACATGAACACAGATGTTAATTGGTACACCTTTGGCCTTCAGAACTCCCCTAATTCTTCAACACAGTGTTGGAAACATTCCCCAGAGATTTTAGTCCATACTGGCATGACATCACACAGTAGCTGCAGATTTCTTGGCTTCACCTCCCGTTCCACCATATCCCAGGGGTTAAGATCTGGTGACTGTGGAGGCCATTTGAGTACAGTAAGCTCACTGTCATGGTCAAAAAACCATTTTGAGATTATTTGAGCTTTGTATCATGATGGGTTATCCTGCCCGGAAGCAGCCATCAGAAGATGGGTACACTGTGGTCATAAAGGGACAGATATGGTTAGAGACAACATTCAGGCTGCGGCATTTAAGCGATGTTCAGTTGGTACTAATAGGGCCAGAACATAATACCCCCCACACCATTATACCACCAACTCTAGCCTGAACCATTATTAAGAGGCAGGCTGGATCCATGCTTTTATGTTATTTATGCCAAATTCCTATCCTGCCATCTGAATGTCACAGTAGAAACCGAGACTCATTAAAGCAGGCAATGTTTTTCCAATCTTCTATTGTCAAATTTTGGTGAGACCAGTGTAGTCTTCTGCTGCTGTTGTAGCACATTTAATTCAAGGATAAATGTGTGTTCAGATACACTCCTCTGAATACATTGGATGTAATAGGTAGTTATTTGAATTAATACTGCCTTCCTATCAGCTTGAAGCAGTCTCGTCTTTCTCCTTTGACCTGTGACTTTAACAAGGCATTTTCTCTCAGAGCACTGCTGCTCACTGGAGATTTTCTCTTTTTCAGATCATTCTCTCTAAACCCTAGAGATGGTTATGTGGGAAAATCCCAGCAGATCAGTTGTTTCTAAAATACTCCAACCAGTCTGACTGGGTCCAACAATCATTCCATGTTCAAAGTCTCCTAAATCTTCTTCCCAATTCTGTTGCTAGATTTAAACTTCAGCACTTTGTCTTAGTCGTGCCAACATGCAAGGAGTTGTTTCCAAGTGTTTGTCTGCTTAGGTATTTGCATTAACAAGCAGTTAAAACAAATACATAATGGTTTTCCTGACTCTGCCTAAAAACTGCAGATGCATCTTGCAAACTCATAAGAAGATTATTGCCATTTTGTGTTCACACAACAAAATTTTGTTTGGTAGCTCTGGGCACAGAGGAGAATGGGGCAGTTAGCACACTCTTTTACATACATACCTTTTATAAGCTTAAGGTTTCTGTAACCTACACCTCCACATTTGTTCACATGCATTTTCCCCATCTATGTTGTGAATTTTTAATTGATGCAATCAATATGGGCAGGAACAATACAATTATTTGTATATTATTAGTCATAATGTAGATTATGTAGATGTAGTGTAATATATAAATAAATATGTGGCTGTGTTTTAGGTCATTAACAAGGAAAAACAGTCATATTCATTCATTTCTTTTAATTATCAGGGGTTTTGAATTTTATTAACTACAGAAATTATTACTTATGATTATCCCTCCCTGTGATTCCACATCACTTCATATTTTGACTTCAACTCGTTTTTATTAGCCAGTAACTTGCACAAAAACAAGTTAGAATTAAAGTAAATGGAATTTTTCTCATCTGAACATATAAAGCAAAATTAAAACCTTTGAAAAGTTTGAGTAAACAACAAAATGTGTTCTAAATGTTTTAAACATCATTATAAAAGGCAATGAGGATTTGAGTTGAGGCTTTAATGTGCTATATTTTTCATCATTAGCACAAATAATATCAGGAATAAACATACATAACAAAAAGAATAGAGTTCACTTAAAATTAGCAAAAGAGATGGTGAAGTGCTAAAAAAAAGAAGAATATATCACTTAAAAGCCAGTTTTAATCAAGTAATGAGAAAGTTTTTAAAAAGAAAAAAGACATTAACAACCAATTAAATTGCTAAAACAAAATACACAAAAGGGAAAGTTAAGATAAAAGAGCAAGACTGATCATCAAGATTTAACGTTTTTCCATAAATTTCAGCAACATGAGATGGCTGGGAATGAAAAAGGAAGTGCAAACACTTAGATAATTAGCCAGAATAATCACTTTTTTCCGTTTGGATCATAGATAAAATAAATTATATCATAAATAAAGATACATCATCTATTTTTAATGACAACCTGCTATGAATATTACATTGTATGCATATGGACATTCAAAACAATACGTGGTCTAGGGCTTCACTCTTTGATGAACAAAACATGTAAGGATCCACTTTAAATATAGATCTGTAGCTTAGAAAATGTACAAAACTGTTTTCATACTATGAACTACAATGGTCAGGTAGTTCCTACTATGTTCTTTCAGCTGACCCCTGTTTGCTCTCTCTGTCTCTCTGCTGTGATCATCAGCACCAGAGAGAGACTCACACCGGTGTAAACCCTGAAGAATGTGTACCAATATCTGCCTTGCACTCACCTTAAACACACAAGGACCTTCCCCCCCATCCTTTCCTCCCTCCAGATGAACGAACATGACCATTTACGTCTGGAGAGGGATGAACCAAGATTCATGGTGGTCTCATCACCTTGTCTGTTGTAAAATTAAAATTATACATCCAGTCCATTGGCTTTATGATGCCATTACAGCATTTAATTGAAATAAAATGTCAGAATGCGTGATGGCCTTGGGCATCATCTGATAGTAATCAGGCAGTAGATGATTCTAATTTGGATTCCTCATTAAGTGTTTATAAGACATTTATATGGCATTACAGCTCAGTTTATTGATAGGTCATAGATGGCATTGGGCAGTGTGTGACATTTGTGTGTACCAAAGTTAGACCTTTAAGCTGTAGTGAAACAGCACCATCAAGTGGCTAGTTGAAGAATAAAAAATCTGGGGTACATTTCTGACACAAGTTATAATATATACCATATTAATAAAAAAAATATTTATATTAATGGTTCTTCTTTGCATAGCCACCTGAAACTGTCCTTGTTTGTTTAGTCTAAAGAGGTCTGCAGCTATCAACTCTAACCTGTTTTGTCATTGTTTTACAGACACTTTCCACTCGGGACCGCGAGAGAGGCAAATCTGATAGTTTCCAGGACCTCCAAGTTACAGAAAACATCCTGTCCAGCGCGATCCCTCCAATGCAGTTCCCACATTTTGAGAAGAGCAGAAAAACAGCCTCCCCTGGGTCTCAGGAGCAGGACATAGGTTCCCTTCATGTCACGAAAAGACAACGCAAACTGCTAAAAACAAGTCCTCCAATTCGACACACCAAAAATACCATTTCCTCATCTTCCTCATCCTCAGTCTCATCCTCATCTTCAATTTCCTCTTCATCCCCAATGTCCTCCTCCATTACATCGGGCTTTTTTTCTCCAGAGAGCTGGCAAAAGCTCTCCGGTATCCTGGAAGCACGCCAGCAACTGATGAAGGAAATCTGTGCTAAGTACAAAAGCAGCATTTCAAAGACCATCACACGTCATCATGTGAAAAGCATCTTTGTGGAGGACAAGTACAAGTTGCTATACTGCCAGGTCCCCAAGGCAGGATGCTCCAACTGGAAGAGAACCCTGATGGTGCTGGCGGGTAAGGCCTCCAACACTCAGAGTATTAAGCATGACACAGTCCACTACGGGCAGCATCTCAAGAAGCTTGATAGCTTTGACCAACAGGGAATCATGCACCGTCTGCAAACCTACACCAAAGTCATATTTGTCCGTGAGCCCTTGGAGAGAATGGTGTCAGCTTACCGGGACAAGTTTGAAAATCCCAACAACTACTACCACTCCCTGTTTGGGAAACCCATCATTTCCAAATACAGGGTGAACCCATCAAAAGCAGCCCTGAAGACAGGAAATGGGGTCACATTTAAAGAATTTGTCCAATACCTGCTGGATGTCCACCGGCCCGTAGGAATGGACATCCACTGGGAGCAGGCAAATCAGCTGTGCAACCCTTGCCTCATAGATTACGACTTTATCGGCAAGTTTGAGAACATGGAAGAAGAGTCTAACTTTCTCTTGCGATTGGCAGGGGCACCACCTAACCTCACATTGCCCAGTTTTAAAGACAGGAACCCAAGTGACAAGCGGACCTCTATGCAGATCACAGAAAATTACTTTTCACAGGTCAGCGCTTTGGAGAGACAGCGAGTATATGACTTCTACTATATGGACTATCTGATGTTTAACTATTCTAAGCCTTTTAAAGATTTATACTGACTTAAGAATTACGTGACTGCTTCACGTCACATTTTCACAGTCACATTCCACTACATTTTTACCATAACTGTAATTTTACCATACCAGTCTTTACTCACATGCTCAAATAGGTCTTTGCGTCTTAGCAGAGAGATCAGAGAGACCAAATTTCACTCAAAAACACTTTAATTACATTTTTTTAGCAGATTATATTGATTTGTAGACAGTTTGTGTGCTGTTGTATTAAATACTCTAAATTGTCCTAAAATGCGAAGTGTTTATTCACTACTAGCAGATGGTGAGGTAGAAATTTAAAACTGTAAACATTAAGCTTCTAAAAAGATTTATTATTGTTGAACAGGCTTTAAAAAATATGCCTTACTCTAGGTCAAATAGCATTTGTAAATGTGTGTTTATGGTTTAAGCACCAAGTTTACCATAGATTTCAAGCACATACCTTATCTTACTTACAACAATATTCATAAATGTAGTAGCTTGAGTCCTTGGTATTCTTAAATTGTTCACAGTCAAACCCTTTCATGATTTAAAATGTTTGCATTTACTGTTTGACCTAGGGCAAGTTAGGCATCAATATACCTCTATGTATCAGTGCATACTAATACAGATATTTGATGTGAATGGCTTTACTAAATATAACTAAATGAAACACTACAAATACTATAAATCTTTAAATGTGTCAAGTGCTGCCCACTTGGAAGCTGTGTGCGCCTATTGTAGCATTTTATACTTCTAACTTTGTCATTTTGTGCTTTTCCTTAACACATACATGTGCTGTAGGTCCTCCATCAATAGGGTGTCTAAAAGCAGGGTATAAAGTGTTGCTATGAATATCTCTCAATATATATTAGTGTTGCTGATTTACCAGTCGATGGTATTGGAAATTAAAAAAAAAAAAAATACAGGCTAAAAACAAAAACAGATAAACACTTTTTTCATATTACATATGACATTTTTCAGTAATGTACAATTTGGACTTTCCAGCAAGAAACAGATAACAAGTTTGCACAAACTTCTTTATCTGCCACTTTAACCACCTCATAATATTATAAAGCAACCCATCCCCTCTGTATATATCATAGCTATTCAATACCAACATATAGGCTTTTTTCTGACTCTACTGTGTAAAATTGTATAATGGGCATTCAGATGAATATATATTTTTCTATGTATTTCTAAAATATAAATATATATATATATATAGATATATATATTCAGTTCTTCTTGGTGATGGTTACTTCCTTTTTGATGTCATTTGTTGTTCTTTCAGTAATATCAGTGTAGAGTGTTGTGTAACTGAAGAGTTTCTTTCCAAAACAAAATATCCACCAGCTGAAAACCAACACGTCTCAAAAAAATTTGAAATGACTGCAAACTATTGATGCAGCATTTAAAAAGTGCAAATAGCTATGTTTGAGTGATGAATTGATCTTCTTTGGTGCTTTGGAGTTAGGGTAAGATTTTGTTTAATATAAATGGATATGTACAATTTTGGAAATTAGCTCTTTGATTATTTATCCCAGATTCATTTTGATGCTCAATGGGATAATAGACCCTGTACAAATGAGCTGCATTCCACCTAGTTAGCCATCCAAGCTGAGGACATTTTTACCCATAGCATACCCGTGCTGTGTGTTTATATGTGTAGTACTGAACTACCTGTTTAGATGTTTTTAACCCCACTGCACATCTTTTCGTAAAAATATATACACAAGAAGGCTGCAGCTATCGTATCCTTTGTGCAACATGGCTAAACTACTATTCCCAACACAAAACCCAACTGGCAAGTCATGTTGTTCTTTTCTTTCTTTCTTTTTAATATGCAACATGATGCAGGTCAGACTACATATATTATGTGCACTAGTTAAAACTGCAAAAGAAAAACCCCAAAAACAGCAGTTTTTAGGTCCTAAGCAATCAGATATTTTAAAATGTTTTAGACATTCAGACATTTTAAATACAAGACCAGTGGAACAAAAAGTTGTGAGGTTAAATACTCTAGGTTTTCATCTGAGTTAAAAAAAGAAAAACAAGGAAAGGTTAAATATAATAAATGTTGAGTTTAACGTAACGTAAAACCCAGACAAGTATTCAAAAAATTTACATTTAGTTAAAATCAACTTGGTTTACTGTTTCATCTTTAAGCTGTGAAATGGTAAACATGCCACAATCAGAAGTGGTTACAAATGGTGTATAACACACCAAAAGCCCACAACCCACACACACTAAACACCTTGATTAAAGAAAAAGTCATTTTAATGGCGGCAAAGATGGATTTGATTTATTCGATTCTCTGAACAACCTATGGGTGATCTCCAATAAAATAGTAGTCACTATTTAGCTCTGTTATGTCCTTTGCAGCTCACTGGAAATTTATTTTATGGTAACAAAAGTTGTATTTGCCTAGAGAAAAGAGGGAAATCATATTATTCAAATCTATACACTATAATACTTTTTTAAGACCTTTAATAATTTTGGTGATGGTAACTGTATGAACTTTTGTCAGTGTAGTGTTGGCTTTTGCAATGCCAAAATCTAACCTTTGTTTAGGTTCTGGTCAAAATCTATGTAGGTGTAGCCAATCTTTGGCCAAAACAGCTAATGCATTATGATGAGTATTACTTTTGTAAATACTCTGTCAGTCCCTGCCCCCCTTCTAAAGAAGATTTCTTGGTTTTGTGGGTATACGGACAGATCAAAAGCATAACTACAGTAACAAGTGAATGTATAACAGTTTATTGTTGGTGCAAATCTGTAAAAGAAAAAAAAAAGATTATCTTAAGCCCTTTGCCTTATTTTACACTGCCAATCAAATGGTGTATTTCAGGAAGATATTTTTCAGGAGGTTATTTCTGGCTGATGAGTGTCTGCTAATAAACTGTCTTTTAGCATTTTCATGTGTTATTTCTTTTTTTCATTGAAAAAAAATGTTGTTTGTCAATCTCGAGTTAAGTGATTTGTGAGCTTTGTTGAGCTAAAGGGCTCCAGAATGTAAACCAGCAGCATTAGAGCCAGAGCCATGTGTGACTCCAAATAAAATTTCTACCATGTATTAGTTTAGTTCTACAAATACTCTGTAATTAGCACTAAAAATAATGTGCAGATAATGCTGCTGGATATGTCATTACCTTTTAAATTTTCACCAAATATCACCAAAAGTTACAACAAATGATTCTGACATTAATGTCTGTTGCCCTGTAGTTACAAATCCCAAGTCCATATTGTGTGGGTTACAGGAGTTAAGGAAATTCCCAAAATAGTCAAAGTTGGTTTTTACACATGAAGCTGTTCCAGGTTGAAATTGACCAGTTGCTTATTCAACTAAGATTGCCATAAAAGGTTTCCCCTCTCACAATGTAGTGCTTGAGGTCCGGCCTGCAGAAATCAACAAATAATTTACAAGTGCCTTTAATTAATTTGATCGACACTATTGTTGTTTTTTAGGCCATTTTTGTATATTTCAGAATATAAGCGCATGGCTTCCAAAAATGTGTTATTAGAGCAATACTGTACAGTGATAGATGAAAACAGGTATGATTCACAGAAGGGTTCATAAGGTTGCCATTTTTGTCTTTCTGAAACAAAGCAGTGTGTGACTAATATGAGAGGTATTCAAGAATGCGAGGCAGTTAGAGAGATGAGTGAATATTTTAGTTTGTAGTGGGTGATGTTAACGTTGTTGGATGCAACTGAGGATGAAATTTGTTTGATTAAGTGTACAAGTAAAAAGATACTCTGTGAAAGCTGGCAGCCATGGTAATACTGGTATGAGAACAAAATATAAATTCTGTTTTAAACAACAAAGGCCCGATATTGATGCTCTTTTAATTAGAAGACGGTATTAAGAAAAAACGAACATGTAAGCTGCTCGGTTAAAAATTGAACTCATGTAGCCACGATTGTTATGGCACATCTGACAATGCTGGAATGTGATACAACAAGGAGAACTGACTTCTTGGGATCATGCCCCTCTCTGCCAAATGGCAATCAATCTAGAATAGATATAACCGCCAAACTGTCAAGGTGAGTGAAGTAATCAACACATGAACAGGAGGAGGGTTATTACTGATCAATCAATACACTTAATCATCTTTTTTTCTTAACTGCTTATCCAATTCAGGGTAACAGAGGGATTGGAGCCTATCCTAGCTGTCAGGGGGTGAGAGGTGGGCTACACCCAGACAAGTTGCAATGAAGTGGTTTGTCAGCAGCGATATGTCACCAGTCAAGGCTACGGGGGAGACAGACAAGCATGAACATGCAAAGTCCACAGAGAAAGGCTCCTGTGAGCTGGCAGATTCAAACCCAGGACCCTCCTGCCTCACCACTATGCCATCCCAAGCACACAATGTCACTGTACCAATCAAGATCCTGTAATGGAAATTATTTTGATGCACAGAGCAGGTCCCCCCCTCCATGAGAGACCCAACTAACAGCAAGTGTTAACTTTGTGAAAAAAAGAAAGAACATAATTTAAAAACAATTTCTTCAAACTGCTGGATTTATAAGCGAGTAAAACAAAAAGTACAATAGTACAATTGTATCCACTTGCTCAGTTTTGCATATAGCAATATACTATAGAGTCAGAATAATAATGTTAAATAAATCTACCAGTAGTTATTCCCTATTTTACAAAGGGTTATGCTTTTTTGGTTAGGTAGTACTTTTCTAAATGTCACTTAAATGTAACAAAACTGAAAACGTTACTCTATAAATGTACATCATAAATGTGCTTATATGTGTTATATCCCAGCATATACGGATAAGTCCTTCTAGAAAAAGAGTATCCCTTTTAAAAGCAAAATGAATAAACGTGTTAGGACAATCCTCAAAAGATCAAAGGGACAAACACAGATTATGTTTCCTGTCTCTATTGTCCATAAAATTAAATGTACCAACACTCTGAATTATTGTGTCTGTGACCTGAGTTCCAAACGTTGTTTTACATAACAGTGGTCTCAGTAGGATATTTCTATTGCTGCACTGATTAATATTTAAATTAACAGTGTTGAGAATTAACTCTTTAAACAGTAAGTCATGTCTATCCATTATGTGCCTCAAAGGGATAGGACTCATATTAGAATCTCTGAAGGTTAAGTCACATCAGCTCACAAAACTAAATGCTGGCAAATAACTGTCAATGCATGTTTTATGTCTGCGAGTACAACTTTTCATTTTGAGATCTAAGTGCCTTCAAATTGGTGCTTTTATTCTTCCATCACACAGCCATAAAGTGTCGGTTCTGAGGGAAAGGACTCGTTTCATTTCCATTTTGTTAATAGACTAAAGTAGGTACCTTATGTTGCCTAAATTTACAGTCATTTGTATGATTCTCACACACTCAAAGGAAGTAAAATCTGTCACAGCAGCATTTTTTTTTCAAGCATTTCATTTTTTTTCAATTTACCTAACAAAAATGACATTACTTTAACATAAACAAATAGCAGTCTTACGATGCTCTTGTATCTGTGTATGTATGTAAGTGCATGCTTGTGTATGTATGTGCGTGCCTGCATGCGTGCGTGCGTGTCTGTGTAAATGTGCGGTTATGTTTATGCTTGAGTGGAAGATGAATATTGCAGCACAAATTGATCACTCTGTAGAGTTAGAAATTTGATTAAATGCTCAAGGCTGATTTCCGCAACAGCTCGTGTATAAGTCATGAGAGCACTTTGGGGGAAGTTAAAACTGTGGAGAAAACAAAAGCCATCCATTTACCTCATTAGTGTGCGTGGAAAATCTTGACATGCTTTGAAGAGAACGTGCTTGTGTAGCAAAATCAGCTTAAGGGCCCAAAGCAGACATACAAGGGAGGCAACCAAACATCTTCCCAAAGTGATAAACAACCTCGCCTTGCTTGGGAGGACTGTAAAAAGAGGCTTTGCTCCATTTTTCAAGTATTATTATTATAAGTTCCTCAGCTAATCTTCCTCTTTGCCTTCAAGCCAGCATTAACATGGCTGATGACAGGTTTCGGCTGATTCGCTGACGACAGTTCTATCACACAGACATTAGCAGGCACACGCACGCACACATGTATAGGACAAAGACTGACACAAAGCGGTTTGCAAGGGCTGTCTACAAAGGCAATGACTGCATCAATGCCTCTGCAAAATCTCCCATGTAATAACGGAACAAAACCAATTTAAGGTGTTGACTCTTCGGTTCAGTAGAACAAAATCTGAGAGGAAGGAAATTCCCTCAAATGTCAAATACAAAACTTGGCTGATTCCCACGCATGCCAGGTTAATTCTCCACCTTTTGCATGAAACCCTTGTTTGTTTCGGCAATGAGTGTGCTGCACGCTCCAGACACATCTCTCAATGACATAAGCCTCATTAAAATGATTTGCTCAAGCTCTGTTATTAATCAAGCCACGCAAAACGACAAGTGGAAAATAAATTTACGGACGAAATCTCAAAATTCAAGTCCTGCTGAGGGCACAACCTTTCCCAAAATCTAATTTGGTGAGGTATGCTGGTTTTCATCAACACAGCTCATTTAGTTAGTTGAAGACAGAGACAAAAGTAACTGTGGCTGCCTGGCAGTAGGCAGGTGAACCATACAGATACACAGCAGTACATTCTTAAGCAGGCCACAGAAGTGGTGTTATATATTCAATTCACACAATGATGATTCCCAGGTTTTCAAGGACAGATTTCCACAGTGCACTTGAAAATAAAGGCACGCATTCAGAGGTGGAGGTACTCATTTGACCACCACAAACAAAATACCAGTTTAGTAAATATTTGTGATAATTTCCATCCTTAATTCTGTAAGCATAAAAAAATTCAGCAAAACTGATCATTGATCCAAACTGGGGTATTTTTGCAATTTGATGAGTTGTGTTTTTAAATATATGTAAAAGGTATCACGGCAGAATGAGTAATCTGATTGCTCTTTTCTCCATTTTATAAGTATCTCTATAAAATGATAAGTATCTGGGGGTTTCGAAGGAAATTCCTTTATATTCAGCTATGTTATTACTCTTTATTCTAAAAACTCCAAAGCCATGCTGTTTGTTACCTCTGCTAACCAGAGAAATATCATATACAACCACATGATGGCAGTACTGCTCTGAAATATGACAAACCCCAACAATGCTTTTGCTTTTCAAAGAATGATTTATGGACATAAAGGTGTGTATAGTAATGTGAACTTAGGTACCAAATTTGCTGTCACTGCCTGTCATGCTTCACTAAAGCATCAATGAAGGCCTTTGCAAGGCTTCTAATTAGGTTATATGCTGAAACTGATATAAATTATGCAGCAGCTTTAATGAACTTGAATCAATAAACATAGGTTCCATAATGAAGTCACGCAAGCTGCTAAAGGCTAAGTGCTTCTTTACCTTGGGGCTACGTCTCTACCAAACTGACACAACTGCCACGAATGGCTAAAACATTTGCATTGATAAAATGCATTTTCACACTGCCTTTGTGTGTTTATATCATAGCACTGCTCTCTAAAACATGGCAACGTTTCGTGTATGTATATTTATTTAAAAACACATTGAGGGTTGAAGCAAACATCTGGGTGGTGATGATGATGGACAGGAGATGAGGAAGAACACTGAGAGTTAAAAGCAAATAATGAAATAAAGACATAAACCAGACACAAAATTGATTAATATCAGTATAAGTATAAAATTCTTAAAAAAACACGGAGCTGAAACACCTCAAACCCTCCAACCAGAACAATGTGTCTGTAAGTCTGTAATGGCAGATTTTCACAGTAGAGAAAAGTAATATGTGATATACACAGTTAACTGAAAAATACTATTGGAGAGGTGGGCAAATATTTAAAAAAGGAACACTAACACTAATAAAGAGTTGGGGGTTTTTTGTTGTTGGGTTTTTTTGGCATGACAATAATGCAGGCAA